TGGTAGCAGAAAATCAAAACAGGGCTTTTAAAAATTCAGTCTAAATTTTGTAGATAAAGGACACTCATAGCAGCAGTGGTGCACAGAATGGCCTATGTATTTTTTCCAAGTTTCACTGTAAGAAGAACCTGACCTAAATGATTACTGTTAATGTGGCTGGACCAAATTTGTTTAAATAATTAGGGGTCAGAATATCACAACTGAAACATCAGGTATTATCCAGTCAAATGGTTGTGCCTCTGTATTTCTGTAGGAATTTGGACTGAGAATCTCAATACATAATCAGATTGTGGAAATTAATATTTTATATTTGTTACATTAATATTTTATGTTTTAAAGTACCATACTAAATGATTGAAAAGTTCACAAAAACCCTGTTTTTAATGATATTTTTAAAATACTTGTATAGAGTTGGTTTATGTCATCAGCCAAAGAAAGTGATATTCTTGGTCCAGACTGATCTGTTGTGCTGCATTGCTTTGGTTCACTAAGTCATCCTGTCTGTTAGTATCTACAGATAAAAATGGATTATTCTCCTTGGAGTAGTCCATAACCTTAATGATGAACAAAGATTAATTTTGATTCAGTTTAAGATTTGCTACGTCTGGGTGCAACGGGTAATGCTCTTACATGAGTGATTTTTGATCTAACATAGCTAAGAGCTCCTGCTGCTTCCTGAATCAATTCCAGTCACTCTGCCAACTAATGCTTTTGAAAACATTTTTGCTGCACCTTAGCTATTTCTGCACATCTGTATTCAGATGTATTTGTTGTGTTATGCTCTCTTTGTTTGTGAATTGCCGTGTTTCTTTTGTGGCACTGTCCCTACTAGGAACTGTATTTTCATGCAGTTCAAAGCGAGTGTGATCACTGAGTGTGAACTGTAACACAGGACTTTCGCTGTGGACAGTGTTAATATTGGTGTTATCAAATTGTTTGCTTGCATGGCTAAAAATTCTTTATCAGCCTAGTGAAGATGATACAAGCAACATTCTGGAAGGCCTTTTCTGTTTGTATTTCTTTTATTCTGTTATTTGTCTGAGTTAGGTTATTTATTAACTAGACAAGTGTTATTTATGGTTTTGCTGTGACACAGATCTGCTTTTCTGTATGTGAACAGATGTTTACATATGTAATTCAGGAAGGGCTTATTTATTCTGCTCTGTATCATTCTCTGTTGTGGTTGCCCTTAATTTCTTAATAAGTTCCTAGATGTGATGAGTTCTCTGATTTCTAATATGGGTCATTCTCAATTTGAGATAATACAGCCTTCTGGCTATGACTTAAGACTTAACAGCTTTTGAGATTTATAGTAACTGTATTCTGTTTTTCCATCTCTGAGTAATTTGCACCTTAATTTTCATTAGAAACATACTTCTAATAAGGTTCTGTATTCATCATGAGAAAAAAATGGAAATCAATGATAAGTATTCTATAATCAGTCACATATGACTTTTGAAATACGGCACTGAGTAGGAAATCATGCATATAGGAAGTAAAATTCAGATACTCTGTTTTTTTCAGAAGCTTGTTGAGGAATTCAGGCCAAACTGCCTGTAATAATAAGTTTCTCCTTGAGGTGCTCTAACAGTCAAGTTGTAACACACTGCTTTTAAGAATAGTATCCATATAGTAATAAATCTGTAATTTGTAACCAAATGTCTTCCTAGCCAGTCTATCTCCAGTAATATATTGTCAGACCACCATTTCTGCTCTTACTTGGTTTTGATTAATTCTTATATAAACCCTACAAAAATATTGTTTAAATTGATTGCTTGTTAATTTCTCAATTCCTTAACTTCTACTCACATTAAGAATCCTTTACAAAATTCAAATATTCAGCTATCAGTGGAAAATAAAGTGTCATGCCAGTATTGAGATAAACGGTTGATTAAAATCCAAGCCTTGATACACCTTAGGAATCAATTATCTTGGTAAAGTCTGAAGGAAGACATTAGCTTTAACATATAGTTTAAGTGCATGAAAGGTAGGACACTGACAGTGCAGGATATAGTGTACTTTAATAAAGACATTACAGCATCAAGACTTCTATGTGTAAATGCTGGGAGTATTTGGTGACGTGAACACAGCCCAACTGCAGATATTTGAATAGTGTGCCAAGGGCCTTCTAGTGGGACTCTAACTGGGTAACATTTCAGTTAAACTCAAAAAGAAAATAAAATTACATAATCCAGAAGTGGAGGAGGCATTTAGACTGCTGACTGGAAGACCTTGTTCTTTACATGGGATACCACTAAACTAATAAGCATCTGTCCTTTGTATTAGATGGTGAAGGCTAAACATATCCAGGTTAAAATAACCATTTGGGAAGTTGCAAATAAACATATGAAAGTGTATGATCACCAGTTTAATAAATTACTGGGGTTTGTATCCCCAAAGCGTTTACTCATTTTTATTACCTAATTTTATCTTAATGTTGGATTATTTAGAAATCATCTTCAAAGAAGTAAGGACATATTTATACCATTTTCTCTATAATGGAGGAGAAAAATATAGTTTTAGTCTTTTAAATACACATCTAAAATTAAACTCTTATCTATATTAGAAAATTCAAAGCTGTCTAGAAAACAAATCCAGTTAGTGCTTACACACTTGAGAAAGTGAAATCTCATTAAATTACTTCTTTCAAAAGAAAATTACCTCTTCAGCAATTTATTATTAAAACTATGAGCAATCTTGGAAGAGAAGTTTTCTTCATGGAGTTCACACTCTAGTCTTTGTTACTTAATACTCAAGCTGAAAATTAGAGTCTTTACACAAACTTCCAATCGTCTAGAAAATAGCCAGAAAAAATGCTCTACGATAGATAGTATTTGTATTCTTAGTTAAGGATTAGAAAAAAATTAAGCATTGGGAAGAGCAAAACGGGTATTTATTTATTTTTTTTTAATTTTGTTATCTTTATAACAAGGTCATCATTATTGCTGAACATGCATAAAAGTAACAGCAGGCTTTACCAAAGGCAGTGAAAATATGCTGTTATGCTATGAAAAAAAAGAGTTGGAAGTGAAGTCACATTCCCATTTCATTTAAGAGTTCTAGAGCTGTTTTAGGAGTGAATGTAGCTTTACATTTGCAAGAGAACTAAATAGGGCCCTTGCCTTTGCCCCTGCTCAGATGACATCTACAGCCTCTGACCAGTCCTCAAGTGAAAGGGCTGAAAGGACAGATAAGCGAGGAGCCACAGGTTGTACCCTGTGCAAGTAAGATTGACATAATTTCTGAAATCCCATTTCATCTCCTTGAAACAGCAGTATTTCATGTGGATAGATTTGGCTTAGCCCCTGGATATAAAATCAAGTATGATAACCAGTTATCTTAAATACCCATTCCTCAGAAAATTAGACCAGAATCTTAAAAACTTCATACATCTACATTAAAACCCAAGACTGGCAGATTTTTTTTTTCAGAAAAAACTTGAAGATCTTTTCAAATTGTCATGTATCACCCTGATGGAAGCAGTGACAATTTCTTGCTGGGCAGAATCGTAAGAGAGGCCAGGGAAGAATGTATGAGAGTGGTGTGAGGAAATGGATATGATTTTTATTGAGATAACTTCTCAAAATTTTCATGTGAAACCACCCCAAGATCTCTGTAGATAAGCAGAAAGATGTTCTAATCTCTTCTCAAAAACCTATCTAATACATAATGCTGGTCCAAACAAGTATGACCCAATTAATTCCACTGGTTTTGTTGGAAACTATAAAACACTGTGAAGACTGGTACCCTTAGTTGGGTAAAATGCCATTTTTCTAGTATCTGAGCAATTAGAAATGATACTTAATCTAATGTACCTACATTAGACACTGACTTCTTTTGCCAATGATATTTAACATATCTTAGTTTTAATACTAAAATTGGATGGATAAAAGGACTAAGCAAAGGGAAGTTTAATGGTGAGGAAAAGAAGTAAGCTGGAACAGTGGAAAGGAACAGAGAGGAAATATTTGTATAAAGAAACTTCTTGAGAAATATTCAGTAGAGGGTTTTGACTCCAAGTAGGATATAAATGACATTTCTGTATCATATAGATAAACTTTTGAGAAGTGAGACTCCTTTGTGGCTGTGCTCAATAACCCAAATACTCTTGGATTACTTCAAATATTATTACTAAATAATAGTAGCTTTGTCAGATAACCATTTTTCTTTAAATTGGCAGTTTGCCTCTTGAACACTTGTCTAAATTAAATTAATTCTGTGTGGACTGAAAAATATGTATTTTTATTGGGCCTTGCTGCTGCTCACTGTCTAATCAGAAAATAAGTGAGAGATAACACCAGGAGCTCTTCTGGTCTTGAAGGAAGTGTGTCATCAGGAAGGACTGCGAGAGGAGAGCACTAAATACTAGCTATTGGATACTAGATCTACTTCTGATTTGGAGAACAAAAGTCCCCAAGTTAAATAAATGAGTTTCTAACCCCATACTTTGAATTTTAATCAATAATGCTGAAGGCTTTTCCTGCTTAAAATACTTCTGTATTGATAGAGTAGGTAATTATCACATTATGAGAATAGTTAATTATTATTTCTCTTTAAAGTATAATAATTAAAACTTTGTGCAATTCATGTATATTCCAGAAGTGTTGGGGTGGGTTTTGTTGGTGGTTTGAAGCATGTGCAAAAATTATAGATAGGGTAATGTTTGCAAAAGGGTGATGTCTCCCTTAGTAGTCTATTGACGAAAATGGGGTCACTCATTTCTGTTGCTGTCACTCATAGATTTTTGAAGTTAATCTCTGTATGACTTATCAATCTTTTAAAGCATAGAATGCTGTTTCAGCCAAATCACAAAGTAATACAATTCTTTATTAGCATTTGAACCATAAAAGGCTGTTTAATATTTTGTTTTGGTGTGCATGATAAATCTAATCTTGTTTGATTGTAGAGCAAAGCAAGAGTTATGCTACATGGGATTATGGTTACGATTGTTTTTACTGATCATTTTATGACTGTGTCCTTTGCTTGTGCTCCATGCATAGGGAGTTGGCCTTTCAGTCCACGGACATTTCCGAGTCGCTACAGAAAAGACAGTTTTTGCAATGCCAGAAACAGCAATAGGTAAGTATTTTAACAGATTATCACATGCTAACATGTTTAAAGTTTCACTGTTTGTGTAACGAGGATGAAATGTCTTTGACTGAAAGCAGTTGGGGTAATGGATTTTAAAAAGGAATTGGAGGTGACCATGTATGGAAAGTATTTTCCGTTAAATTAATAGCAACTTATCTATGTTCTGGCAAGTTGAGCATTGAGGCTTTTAACCTGGGGTTTACTGTCTAGACAACATGAAGACTGTCAGGATACAATCTGTAAAAAATGGAAGTAGATCTGAGGAGCTAAGTCTTTGCTACAGATGTAGGCAGATGAAGTCTGAAGATCCCAGTGCAAGCATGTCAGCTCTACATTTAGAATTCAGTGTGAGTCAAACTCACTGTATTACAAGCTGATCTGCAATGTTAATGAGACAGATTTTGAAATTCTACCTTTTCTTGTAGATTATTAATGTAGACCCATTACAGCTGCGTACAGATTGTGTCTAGGAGAGATTGCATTGTCATCCTGGTTTAATAGCAGCATGTACTTTGTGTTTTCTAATGTTTGATCCTACAGCTTTTTTGTCAGCAGAGATGTACAAAATAAAATGTTATGTCTGAGAGCTGTATGAAGATGATGGTATGGCTCAAGAAAAGTCAGATTACAGTGAATCCTCCTGTGAAATCATTCACGTTTTCCTTCAAGACAATCCTGGCACCAGCAGGGTTTCCACATTGAACTATTACTGTCTGGCATAAATACTCCATTAATGCTTTCATCAACGTTGAAGTCCCTTCTCCCTGCTTAACAACAATGTTCATGAAGAGTGCTCAAAACCTATAACCTATCCTGCATTCCTCTTCACAGAATTTTTAGTTTCTACATCTTTCCAAGGCAAGGCAGCTGAAGGATGATTACAATTGTTCTTATATTTATGTCCTCAAGCAGGAGCATGAGGATAGTCTGAAATATGTGGCCCTGTTCAACACGTATATTGAGCATATAGAATTACCTGGTGGTTATACAGCTTAAATTGCACCAGACACAGTGGTGCTATTAGGTTTAGCCTTAGTTTCACCTCAAAGAATTAATTTTAACGATTAGTGATAATTATATCAGGACTAAGTTCTGAAAAGAACTATAAAAGTTATAATGTTCTGCTTTTGTTGAGAGTATTTTAAGTACAATAGTGTCATTACAGCTAACATTAAAATGCATGCTTAGCTGATGGGATTTTTGTAGTGTGCCCTGTTAGTAATGTTTAAAAGGTCTAGTGTTTTTGTATGTTTTTAAAGGATGTCTTAGATATTATCTGATGTTTATTGCTATCCAGCCTGTATGAAACATTTCACAAGACATATTCTGAAATTCTTAAGATACTGAGCTGTGTCAAGTCAAAACATAATAAACCCCCAAATATAAGCAAGCTCGCTTTCATTTTAACTCCTGCAAAAAATATTAGAGCAGTTCCTGCTAGCTGTAATTTCTCTGATCAAATGAGTTTGGGATGAGAAAAATAAAAGCTGTTGAAGCCCTCCAAATATTTTTCTTTGCTGAAGGACAGTGTAGTAAACTAGATAGCTCCAGCATTAATACAATTTGCTAAACTGAAGTTCATAATCTGTTGTTGTACAAGAAGACCATTTGAAGGAAACAATGTGGGTTGGTTTGTTTTTTAGACTAAACAGAGTGGTTCTTTGGCATATGAAATTTTTCTAATAATAAAAGATACCTTCTTTACTTTCTTTTTCAAAGGTAAAGATATGAGTAGTCTTATATTAAAAATAATTATTTACGTACATTTCTTGTGTTGACAAGGACTTACTGAAAAACAGACTGTGAAGACATGTAAGGGAAAAGCTTAAAACTTGCTTAGGAAAGAAAGTAATTAAAACCCTTTTAGGATCAGGTAGAAATAAAACCACTGAAAGCTGTTTGGATTTAAAAGCTTAGCTGCTTTGATCTCTGTGGTGTATGTTTAAAGTGTATAGCTGCCTAGATATTGTATTAATTGATTTTTTCATATGTTCACTTATTTCAGTAGGCATTACACCTTTTCTGGGAAAGCAAAACAAAGCGTTCATTCAGCTGCTACATTTTCACACAATTGCTCTGCATTTATACACCACCATAAATAAAAGGATATAGATAGATATGCCACTTTGCAAATAGAAACAAAAGGCAGCTCTAGATTGCAGCATTTTGACATAGATAAGATAAAGCACTGGAAAGCAGCCTTTATGTAGGAGGGTGTGGAAAAACCACTGGTGAGGAGAAAAAAAGATGGAAGTATATTGTAATAGCTGGGCTTTAAGGTGATGTTATAATAATAGCAGACATTTTCTTGTATATCCCTCGAAGTTTTTAGCTTTCTGTAAGTTATTTACTGACAAATCTCCAACCACCTCTGCAAGATAAGGTAGGAATGTAGCAGTGCTACCTTTATCTTCTACTTGGCAACTGCAGAGTTTCACACTTGGTATTATAGTTATATCTGTCTCAGAGTACAGACTGCAAGTCAGCATTACAGGCATAGGCTTTTAGCCTGGTCAGCCCAGCAGACATTCAGTTCTTCTCTTATTTAAGTAAGGATTTGAGAAATAACTGGTAAATGCTATCAAAAGGGGGAAAAAAGATCAAGTATATGGAATACATTAAGAAAAACCCAGTAGTAAGCAGAAACATATGGGAAGCATTATTGAGAGAATTGAAAGGAATATGTAGAACAGGGACAAGAGAAGTAAAATTATAAGAAGAAAGGTATACTGGGACCTTGAAAAGGATACAGTAGAAGCTATAGGGAACTGTGTTTATACAGTTAAGTAAGAGTAAAGTGGATTAGTTACACCTTCACTAATCCTGTTTGTAAATTCCTTAATAATTAAAAGAAACTTTCATTCAGTTTAGTTTTATTTGCCTCTAAAGCAACTTAAGATAATCAGCTTAAGTTGCTTTAGAGCTTATTTAAAACTAATTTCCCTGTCTATAGCCATGTAGAAGGGCCCTGTAGATCCTAGTAGGAAGATGGCTTTTCCTCTGGAAACTTACTGGGGCAGGGGGAGAATAGTACTTCAGCATCACTATTTTAATTACAGTAAAGAGGAAAAGGCTGTTGCAGTCGTGATGGATGGGGAGAATAATATAATTGCCTTTTTATTTTGGAGGGCATTCATAAGTTTGGTTTTGAAATGAGGACTTTTGATTTTTCTTTTCAGTAGTAGGATGTCCAAGAGAAGACAGATGAATAGAAACATAAAACCAAATGACAGTCTTGGCATCAATATTCTAGGTAAGATGCCTCAAACTGAGATGGTAAAATGCAGAGTAGACTATTCAGAAAGTGAGTACAGATGAGTAACGTAGGCGATGAATTGGGGGTTTAGAGCTTTTAAAGGACAAGACATTCAGCATTTTAGAAGAGCTGTATGTCTCAGTAGCCTGTGGTATGAGGGATATATCAGTTAATAGCAACAAGCACATCAGTGGGAACAGGAACTACACTACTATAACTAATAGGACATGGCTCCCAAAACCAACTTTGTGAGGTACTAGAGGCAGCAGAACTAAGGGAGGACCAAGAGGGAGCCAGGGGAAGAGCTGAGAGACGGGTGAGGACGTAAGGCAGTGATGAACTGCAAAGAGAAGCTGTCTGAAAAAACCTTCCCCTACTTCCATCCAAAGAGGAGGAATATTCAGGGACCACTAATTTCCCACATTTTAAAATACTTGTCATAAGGTCTTTCTATAGTACATACATTGACTCACTTCTCTTGTGACTGAAAGCAGTTACTTGTGAGTAAAAAATTACCACCTTCCATCAGAACCCCATTTAAGTCCTTATGTATATCTTAATCTTCTCAGTTAATATCTCTGCTTTAGGCAAGTGTTTTCCGAGTTTCTTATTGATCGTTTGTATTCTTTTTCATTTATGTTTCTTTTATTCTCTCATAGTGAAAAAACCACCATCACACTTAATTTCTTCAAAAGACTTTCAGTTTCATGAATGCGCTATTGGTGATTATTTCCAAGTATTAACTGGACACTGCTTCTTTCCATTTCAATTTCTGATATTGATAGAGCTACACTTAATTTCCTTAAGTTTGTTAAAAGTTACAAAAAGTGGTTGACTTTATTTTATAGGCTATTATTGTAGATAATAGAATAAGGTAGATACTGACAGAGTGAGGATTTGAAATACTTAAACTTTGATAAAAGTCATATTTTTCAATTACAACTTTTAGAAGTCTTTTAAATTTTATTCACAGCTTTAAATGGTGAAGGTTACCCTATTCTGTAGATTCAGAAAATATGAATTTCAATCACTAAGTTGGGAAGTTTTATAATTTTTTAAATTTGCAGGTTAGTCATAGTTCTGTCAGAGAGCCAGGTTTTAGCTCAGCATCTCGTGCCTCCACCCTGAAGGCACCATGGCAATATTGTTGATCTGTTAACGAATTCTCAGCCCCCAAAATTGTTCAAACTCAGCCATGCAAGAGGCACTTTATCATTGTTTGACATTTGTACTGTAATAAAAGACTTCAGAGAGAAAGCAGCATCATGTTTGAGTTTGCACAGATTATTTCACAATTCTTAGTGTCGCTTCTTTTTTTTTTTGCTGAAAGCAAGCTTGATTGTTCAGGCATTTGAAAATGGCTCAAAAATTGTTGGCGAGTAGAATTAACACCAATGTTTGGTATATGTTTGTAAATTATGTGCCAGTGGAGAGGATACAGTTTGGAAGGTGTTCAAGAGTTTGCTTTTAGAAAGGGTTTTGATGACAGAGAAATGTCAAACTAAGTCAAGGGAAAATGGGCGAGAGAGCTGTGCCTATGTCAGAGAGATGAAAGTAAGGCAAGAAGAAATAACTACTAAGTTACATGCATGATTGGACAAGTTCTCCCTTCAAATGTGTGTGTCGTTTTGTTTATTACAGGCCTTTTTCCTGATGTAGGCGGAGGATATTTCTTGCCAAGACTGTCAGGAAAGATTGGCTACTACCTTGCACTAACAGGATTCCGGCTGAAAGGAAGAGATGTACTAAAAGCTGGCATTGCTACACATTTTGTTGAATCCGAAAAGGTAAGCTGCTAACCAGAGCTAGCAAGGGTGCAGCCTACAACCATAATGACAAGTCTGAATTGTGTAGCACACCAATATACTTTTACCAGCTTGAGTTTATGCAGAGGCGCAATTATATTAGCTGGGCGTGCACAGTGAACAGGGATCATAAGATACTCTCAATCTGTCATTATAACACTTGCCAGCTAGTGACAGCTTTGCTTGGAAGAGAGAGCTAATGTTGCTGTCTTCATGATTCTTGTGTTGAAGGGCATGATTTACTGGCATGATTTACTGAGCATAACTGAAGGCGCTTGGAAAATTGTACGATTTAGACAACAGTGCCTGAAAGTAGAGATAATTTATACAACCACAAAATTTTTAGTCTAAGTAACACCTATTATGTGATCATAATCAGTCTCCTTAACAGATAACCTAGTTGTTCTTACAGTGGCTGTAACAAATTGTAGAAATTAGTATACTATTTGATAAGTCAGAGTCATCATGAAATTTGCAAGGACAAAAGCGAAGGAGAAACAATGACTTGCTTTCCTTCTCTGTGTAAACTCTCATGGCTGTCCTTGTGCAGCTGGTTACATACTATTTTGAGCATAGCATGGTTGCCAGGCTCCTGCTCTTTCCTCTCAGACTGTTGTAGGCTGGCTTTACCTGCCGCGGCTGTAGCACTGCACTGGGACTCTGCTTTGGAAGTAGAGTTCTTTGCTGATCACTGCAGATGTCATTAAATCCGTATGGTTCAACACGAAAAAGTGAATTCTGGCTCCTTTTATTGTTTACTTGGTACCTGTTTGAGATGTCTCTGAAAGTTGGGCGGGTTGAAGGTGTGTGCTTCTGTAGTACTGTTACCATAGCAGTAATAATTTAAGTAGTACATTTTAGTTTACTTATTTTTAATTAAATCTTCCTTTTAATAGCTACCTGCCTTAGAGAAAGACCTGATAGCCCTGAAATCTTCTTCAACAGAAAATATTGCAGACTTATTGAACTCCTACCACATGAAGGTAAATCTGATCAGTTACTAAAAATCAAGCAGAATTGTTAAATATATGTAAATATGATTTTTTTAAAATCCATTATCATGTGTTTCATGGTTAAAAAAATGAGTTTACAAACTCTTTGCACTACAAAACACTCATTTGTAGCCCTAATGCCAACAGTGGTCAAAATTAAACATCCTTCTTCACTCTTTATTCATTTTGGATACCTCTCAAACTCCTACTGTGATCATCTCACTCTCTTTCTATATGAATAAGTAAACTTCCAGCCAGGAGCATGATGATGCAGGAAATATATTGCTGCTTCATTTCTACCCCCACTCTGTTATCCTTAGATTTCTAGCATGGTTTGCAAAAGGCAAAATAGATAGCCACTAGCAGACTGGGAGTTGTTCGTGATGGCAAGTGCGATCTGGGGAGTTAGCCTAAAATTCAGGGATTCTGACAAACACAAATGACAGGGGTGGAACTACTGCCTTAATCCAAAGGCTGCAGAAGTTATAATGCCAGTTATTAAATGCTCCACTGCTCACTTGGAAATGGTGTTATATTTCCATCCCAGAAACTTTCTCTTTATAAACCTGAAGAAATGTTTTTCTAGCTTGATGCAGTTGACAAATTTTAGCATTATTTTGATGCAGACCATCTGCAGTCCAGATTTGAAGCCTGAATTCAAAGACTCATGTTGTTCCTTTAGTTTCTCAAATATTTTATATGTTTGTAAACCTGAGATAATGGAAAGGCTGCATAAGCACAGGAGTTAGCAACAGGATAAGTATT